AATGACCTTAGAGGAACTAAACCTTAAAGGCAATTTCCTTTTCTGCCCTCCTTCACATTTAAATAGGCGGTTTGCTTCCTGGATGAGTCTGAGCAGATTTTCTAAATTCCCTACCGTGACTTTAAAGGCCCTGCTGGGGCTGTTGCGGTGTATAGCAAATAAAGACATCACTTGTGGCACAAACAGCCCACATGGATGTCAGTTCAAGTCCCAGCTGCTCCGTTTCTAATCCAGCTCCCTGCTATTGTGTCTGGGAAACCAGGAAAGAATGGCGCAAGTGCTTGTGTCTCTGCATGCAGGTGGGACACCATGAAGCAACTCCTGGCTTTGGACCACCCCAGTTCCAGCTGCTGCAGCCATTTGGGGAATGAACAAGCAGACAGTAGATTTCTCTGTCTCTCCCTAACTCTGCCTTTCATTTTAAAAACTGGGGGTGAGCCCTATCACCCTATTGCCTTTTAGATCATTTCATATATTAACACAAGACATGGGACTGGTGCTGTCGCATAGCAAACTAATCCTCCATCTGCAAATGCCAACACCCTCTTTGGACGCCAGTTCACATCCCAGTTGCTCCACTTCTGGTTCAGCTCTCTGCTTAAGGTCTGGAAAAGCAGTAGAGGATGGCCCAAGGCATTGGATCCCTGCACCCACACGGAGGCTGGGAAAAAGCTCCTGATACTTAGCTTTTGATTGGCTCAGCTCTGGCTGTTGCAAACATTTAGGGAGTGAACCAGCAGATGAAAGCCTTTTCTCTCTCAAATGTCTTTCCCACTGTACCTGCCAGGACAGGAGGTGGGCCAAGTCAGGCTAGGCCAAGAACCCATCGGTACGCACTACATATGCCACTTGGAAATGACCTGATAGAGCAGCTTTGGAACTCCTCTGTCAGGATGCAGTCCCTGCAGATGAGCACAACAACCAAGGCTGGGAGCAGCCCAGACCAGGTCAGGTTACAATACCCACCGTCACACATGAGTCAGGCCAGGATGGGTCAGTTCATAACATCCATTGGCAGATGAAATAACCAGGACAGGTTTGGCTGCGCTCTAACACCAGACAGCTCACATTTGGGCCAGGATTGGGGACTGGTTGGGTTGAGCTGGGCTGGGCAGGGCAGGGCAGGGCTAGGCTGCAGCACCCACCAACATTAGCTGGAACTGGGGGCAGAGTGAGCATAACCAAGCTGCAACACCTGCTGGTGAATACAAAAGTGAGGTGAGACACACCAGACTGGGCTGCAGCATCCACCAGCACACGCAAGGCTGGGGTGAGAGGCTGGCATGCCCCAGGTGGGCAGGTTTTGAGGACTCCCCTGCTGGGCTACTGCTTCTGCTGGTGAGCATGAGAACTGGGACTGAGACAGACCAGGCTGGGCAGGACTATAAAACCCATTGGCCTGCGTGGGTTAGGAGGACAGCCAGGCCAAGCTAAGAAACCATATCCACTGGTGCATGCACGAGTCAGAATAAGTGCAGCATGGTTGGACTTTGCCACAGCATTAGCTAGCAGGTTCTGGGACTGGGGACAAGTCTTGTCAGGCGAGACCGCAAAAACACCTGAACAGTGCATGGAAGTAGGCTTAGTAGGGAAATTGTGGACACTCTTCTATGGGCTACAGCTGCCACTGGTGAGCATAGGAACCAAAGCTCGAGGTGTGCCTGGCTAGACAGGTAGTGGCACCTGCTGGCATGAGTGTGAGCTGGATAGTGGGGTTGGTCAGGCTGAACTAGGCTTCAACATCCATGGATACATACAAGAGCTGAATGGAATGTGTGACAGACTGGACCAGTCTGCTGCACACACTGGCATGCACAAGGAACCCAAGGCTGAGGGTGGGCCTGGTGGGGGTTTTTGGGGGTCACCCTAACTAGGCTGCAATTTCCGCCAGTTGTCATGAGGGTCAAATGTGTGTTGGGCAGGATGGACCAGGCTGCAGCATCCACTGGTTTGCGTATGAGATAGGTTGGAGCAAAAACTGATCATGTGACTGCAGCCACCAGTTTGTGTAGGTTGATGTAGGTGGTTGACTAAGTCAAACTCTGCAATGGCTGGCACACACAGGAGTCAGGTCTAGGGTCACCTCTGGTGAGGTTTCTTTGGGGATTCCCCCAAATAAACTATTTTTCTCAGACTCCAACCATGGAGAAAATCACAGGATTTGTGGTCTGAGCATGGAGTACACGTGTCAGAACTGGGTCAGCCTGGTTGTTGAAGCCTGTGCAGCAGAAAGCATCCCCGGATGCACATGGGGCCACGAAAACCAGCTCATTAAAGCTGCAGAGGATGGAGGGCAGGAGCCATGGAGGGCGGAACGAACTGGACAGCTCTCCCGGCCAAGCTTGGCTGTGAGTATCTGCACAAGTGGTGACTCTAGGGCAGACTGTGTCAGCCAATGGATTTCTTCAACAAAACCACCAGCATCTCAGAACTATCAAAATCACTTGGGCCCGGCTAGCAGCTAAACTCCTCACCTTGAACACACTGGGATCCCATATGGGCGCCAGTTCTAATCATATCCAAACCAGCTCCCTGCTGCGGCCTGAGAAGGCAGTCGAGGACTTCCCAAAGCCTTGAGAGACCTGGAAGAGCTCCTGGCTCCTAGCTTCGGATCAGCTCAGCTCTGACCGTTGCGGTCACTTGTGGAGTGAGTTATTGGAACGAAGGTCTTCCTCTCTCTCTCTCCTATTCTCTACCTATTTGACTTTCCAATAAAAAAAAATTTTTTTTTAATCTTTTTTGAAAAAATCACTTGAGCAGTGTCCTCGGAATCAGTGACCCTGGGATGACATCAGGTGGCAGTTCCCTACCCCTGGGTCCTAAAGCAGCTGGGCTGCTGGGAGTGGCCCTCTCTCTTCCTCTCCCACTTTCTACAGATACAGGAAGAAAAAGAGGTTGGAAACAGCTGTCTCACTCACTTTGCCCCATTCCTCAACCCTCTCCATGCTAATCAGTAGGCATGCATCCTTCTCAACTAGGTAAACATCATCAAAAGTAATTAGAAAAAAACTTGTCTTTCAAAAAATAAATAAATCTTTGAACAAAATAAAAGGTAGTTGGGATTTTAATCTCTAGCTAGATGGACTTCTGAAATTTATCTGAAACTCCCACTCTCTGCAAGCACAATGATTCTACTACCAGGAATTCCTTTGCATACAGTCGCTCATCTTTCCAGTTCCTCTGGACACCGAGGTGATCTCTCTGACTTCATCAAGCACAATGACCAGGCCCATGACCCAAGCTTTCACATCATCTAGCTCCTCTTATTCCTATCCATCCAACAGGCCTCCCCTGCTTGGCAACCATCAGGGTGCTCTCTCTTTACAGAGTTTAGAATGGTGTGCAGCTCCATAAACAAACACTAAATATTTAGGAAGTAACTCAATTAAGTGACTTCCTGAACTTCTTGAGTTCATGACTCAGCTGTACTATGCAGTGTTGTCAGCAGGAAATATCCCTGAGCTGTAAACAAAAGTGATTTTACAGAAAAAAAGTGTTCAGAAATTTGTCTGACACACTATTTTTTCATTTACATCAGTTCATGTGCACAAGCCAATTTTTCTACTCTTCTGTTTATTTAATGGTGGCACAAAAATTCTGGTTGTATGCACTTCTCTTTGTATGTAATTCTCCTTAAGTGCTCATATTTCCTAAAGAATAAACCATAAAGTTAAGAATAAAATGTAAACAGCATAGTCATCAAAAAAAAAAAAAAAGGAATAAAATCAAGACAAAAAAACTTCACAGCATAGTGACTATTATCTACCTATTTAATTGGTAATCATGAATCAAACTTGAAAAGTCAGTGCTGAGCGACTCGGAGGTAACTGGCTCAGTTACTGCTAATGGCCTTGCCAGCAAGCTCAGGCTTTCTGATGAACAGCTTGGCCTTGCAGAGTAAGAACCACAAAATGTAACACACCCTCAGGTCAAGTGATAGCTCAGGATGAATGTGTCTTAAGGAAACAAAGACAAATTGACACAGCATTTATATTAGTGACAACTAAGAACCATCACTAACTCCCCCACAAGGATCAAACCGAGCTAATTGTGCATCGCTGAATACATCAACACAACGCTACGAAGTGACTTTAAAATGACAAGTGGATGACCTTTCTCAATAATGGAAATAGTAGCAGCAGTGGTTAAGATGAGGACCAGGACCTCTAAGATTGGGCATCTGTTTCTGAGTCTGAATCTTGGCACTGCCACTGGTACAAGAAACACTTCTCTTCTACCAACGGACTTGGATCAGGCAAGGCCTGCGAGCAATGACCAGGCATATATGCTTGGCTGAATGGAAAAGAGAGACAGTTAAAGAGAAAGTTCTTGCATCAAACTGCCTGAGTTTATGCTGGGCACTGTCATTCACTGGCTATGTGACCTTAGGTAAGGGACTTCTCTTCCTTTTTGAGAAACGCTGTGATCGACCCCATAAGGTTCTGAGAGGTTGAAATGACATGGTGCCTGGTGACACAGTGTCTGATGTATTACTTATTCAGCAAACGTCATCAATCTGCACCCTTCAATTAATACTGATCATGGCATCAGGTATCCTCGTTATTCTTAACTCCTACAAGAAGCCTACAAAGTGAGTGTTAAATACAAATTAAAGAAAGCAGCTCCAAAAAGTCTATGAGGGGCCTTCAAAAGCTCACGGGAAATGCTCATTATTTTTAAATTCTGGTTTCTATGAACTTTTTGAAGCAGCCTGGTGTGCACATAAGGAGAGAAAAGGGAAAAGGAAGGTATCAGCTACAAATACAGAACATAAAACGCACTTTCACGTTTGCAGGAATATGCGTAACTGGAACTCCATGATCATTAGGTTCACTTTGTTTAAAATTAGTCCGAAAGTTTTTTTGGGTTTTCAAGCAAGTAGGTTCTGGTGGAACCCGGTCCTTCTGCCTTTATAGACCCACACTGTTCCTCCCCTCAAGCAGAGACCAGGCCATGTATTCAACGACACTTGGGTGCTGGCTTCTGACCAGCAAGCTTACCTGAAGGAGATAGAGGAGTCCTGGCACAAACAAGGTGAGTGGGTACAGAGACTGGTATGTTGCTAAGGCAAGAAAAATTGCACTGAGGAAAGCACTGCCTGTGAAAAGAAATAAATGTATAGAATAATCCGGCCTCATTAATCAGGAATAGACTCAGCATATTCATCCATTATGTCTCAAGTAATCACGTGTCATATGTTGGCAGGCGCACAAGGCACCACACACACTCGGAGTGAAAGCTGCTCAGCTTTATTTCCAATGAAAGGAAACTAAGCAAGTCGAAACAGCCATCTACCTTTCACAATCTAAGATACCAAAAGCATGTTTGCCATAAAATTTACACACCCAGAAAGGTTTTTACGAAATTTCAACAACAAAAAAAAGAATCAAGTCTATTGACATGCGTGTCCTATTTGACATCCAAGTTTACTAAGCCTGCGATTGCTGCTTAGGATATTCAGAGCCATGAAACTGATCCCTTTGACTCTCCATAACACCCCCTTTTAAACACTACCTTCAGGTCACACATTTGTAGAGTGTAGTAGTTTCAAATCAAGGTATATTAACCTATTAAAAACGTTCATCTCCTACATAAAATGAACAACTATGGAATCACTGACCATGCTATAAATGCAAAAGAATCTAGCGGCTGATGTTGTGGCACATCAGGCTAATCCTCTGTCATGGCACAGATATCCCATATGGGTGCCGGTTCAAGTCCCGGGTGCTCTATTTCTGACCTAGCTCCCTGTTAACGGCCTGGGAGGGCAGCAGAGAGTGGCTCAAGAGTTCAAGTGGAACACCTCGAAGAAGCTCCTGTCTCCCGGCTTTGGATCAGCCTAGCTCTGGCCACTGCGGCCATTTGGGAGCAAACCAGCAGATGGAAGACTTGTCTGTCTGTCCTTCTCTATCTCTGTTAACTCCTTCAAATAACAAATCTTTTAAATGGCATGAGCATATAGTTCTAAATCTTATTAACTGAGCACAAGAGATCTATACTATGATACCTTTTAAGAAAGATTTAATTACTTATCTATATTTGAAGGGCAGAATACAGAGAGTAAGGAAGAGACAGGAGAGGGAGAGAAACAGTTCATTCTCTGGTCCACTCCACAAACGCCCAACTGCTGGGACTAGAACAGCACACAGTCAGGAATCAGGAATTCCATGTGAGTCCCCCATGCGGGTAGCAGTACTTGGGGCATCTGCTGCCTTCCATGTGCTCTAGCAGGAAGCACAGGTGGGACTCAATCCCAGACACCAGAATACAGGATGCAGGATGCAGGCAGCCCAAGCAGAGGCTTAACTCACTGTACCAAGATAAGGAATCCAAAGGGGCTGGGAGGGTGGGGGGAAGCACAAACATTTACAAAAAAGATTAAAATTCAAAGCCATGAAGGTCACAATAGTTACCTCTAAGTAATAGGAATCTAGATGATTTTTTTTTCCATTTTTATTTCTCTGCATTTCTAAAAAGATTTTTTTTTTTTAATTTGAAAGCCGAGCTACAGAGAGAGAGGGAGAGGAAATGTGGAAGGAGAGAGGAAGGAAGAGAGAGAAACATCAATTTTCTATCCACTGATTCACTTTCTAAACAGTGACTACAAAACCTGGAGCTTCTTCCTGGTCTCCCCACGAGTGGCAGGAAACCCAACATTTGGGCCATCTCCCATCGCTTTCCTAGAGCATTAGCAGGAGGCTGGATCAGACGCAGAGCAGCAAGGACACAAGCCCATGTCCACATGGGATGCTGGCATTGCAGCTGGTGGCTTAACTCGTTATATCACACCAGCTTCTACGTTTCTTTGTATTTTTTTAAAAATTTGAGAGGTAAACATGCTTTGTTTTCATCATAAATACACAGTTATTTTCTTTCAAATGCCTAACAGGATACCCTAAAACAAAACCTAGAGAGACTGAGAGGTTTCAAAGTGGCAAAGAAATCAGCAGGCTGTAATTGATGATCATGGGCCAGAGTCTCATAATAATGATGTCCCCTAAAATGACAACACATCCATGGTCACGTTCATCTGTGTGAGATCAATTACTTACTGAAAATAACTGACACCTTTCAATGGTATCTCATAAGAGGAGGAATGAATCACTCCACTCAAGGCAAGCAGTTCTACCACTCTAGCTCCAGAGACAATCAGAAGGAGATGATCCGTTGGACCTTTCACCCACCAAAGTGACCTACATACTTGAAATATCAAGAGCCATCTTCAAAGAGTGAGAGCCATGCCTGTGATCAATTCGTACAAGATGCAGTGAAGTGAAAAGAACATTGAAATGCTCTATCCCTCAAACCCTGGCAACTCATTAGCTAAGCATAATCCTGGCAGGCAAAGAACGGAGGAAGTTACGTGAGGCTCAGAATCCCATGACGATTGCTGTGCCATATTGATTATCCCAAGCAGGATGTTCTGCATCCATATTACTTATAAATACAACGGAGCAGGGACAGGATCGTACCCAGATAAACCACTAATGCCACCATTCATGCCATTTCTATGGGGTGAGAGAAAAGAGAAGCATGTATATATTACTAGAGAACTGAGTACTGCTCCAACTTCTTCCACCATTCTTTCAAACGAAATTAGAATAAACATGTTTTTATCCCTGTCTCCCCTGGAAATACCAGGGAGTAAAATAAATCCAGCCACTTCAGGTTCTCATAACCTGAGATCAGTAATTGCCTCTCTGGAACAGCTGACTCCACAAGGTCCAAGAGAAGAAAACATCTGTAGCCTTCGAAAATGGACTAGTGAGTTCTGGCTCCTTATTTATGCCAATGCAAACCCTGGGAGGCAGCGGGTGATGAGTCAAGCAGTTGGGTCCCTGTCACCCACAAAGACATACAGATTACAATCCAGGCTCCTGGCTCTGACCCTGGCCTAGCTCCACTCAGGGCAGGCACATGGGAAGTAAACAAGCAGACAACAGTTTTCACTCCATCTATCTGCCTCTCAAATTTTTTTTTTTAAAGGAAAGCAATGTTCTTAAGAAAACTCATGAAGCCTAAAACATGGAACAATGGAACATGTGCAAAGCACTAAAAAAATCTGACTCCGGATAAAACAGAAGGTGCAGAACGGCAGTGACATGCCTGTTGTGGTATTGGACTAGGTCCAGGGAACGCCCTCTGGGAATGATCGGATGGCTGACGCCCTCAAACTGTGGGCTGAAACATGGTGCTGCAACAGCCAGCAGCCTGGTGTATAGGAAGCCCGAGTATGGGATGTGCCGGGACAGGTGTGCATGGCCCACGTGTGCAGCCTGAGCAAAAGTAGGGGAAGGAGGAAGGTACAGAAAGGACTAATATGGCTTGAAAAAGGCTAGCAGATATAAGAAGAATGGGTTAGGAGGGCAGAGAGATAGAATGCTGTGTGCTTGGGTCAGGGAAGGGTCTTGGAAGACAAAGAAAACTACAAGTTAAATTCAAATATTTTAGAGAAACTGTGCAACAAGCAAACATTCCTATAGTTTGTTCTGTGCCAAATACACAATGAGTGCTGGGGAGACGGGTGACTCAGACTCTGTTCTCTGAGAGTTCTCAGTAAATAATCACCAACTACAGGAGAAAAGTACAAATGAAGGAGACCCAGTCCATCAGGGCAAACTGGCACCGGACTTCTCAACTGTGAGTAGGTCAGGTATGTCCAGGGGGGCAAGAGAGAGAAGGGTGTACTGGGGGTGAGGGCTGGGACAACACTTCCCTCCACCTGGCAAGGACAGGCCCAAGTTGGGAGGAATGATCGAGGGGGCCTTATGGATGCTGGTGCCACTGTTTCTTAATCTAGGTGCTAATTATCCATTACTTTGTGAAAACCCATTCAACTGTACATTAATGTTTTGCACATTTTTATGTCAAACTAAAACACAAAGGTACAATCAAAAAAAACCTCAGCAAGCAAGCAGGGTAGTAAGATCATGGAGGGCTTAGCTCACACAATCAGCCAAAAACATCGCAGGCAGGCCCAGGCAGGACATCTGAAATGCAAGCCTGAAATGGAGATCTCCTGAAAGCTAGACCTAGGGCACTCTGCTGGCCCAACCAGGAGAGCCTGTGCCAAGAGGACCCAGAGTTAGACTAAAAAGTCATCTTTTCTCTGCTAGCACAGCTGGTTTCTCTGCACAAAGCCAAAGTCTTTGGCCTAGTTGCAGGAATATGAGGGTAAATCAAATGGGTGTACACTGGCTGCTGGCTCAGGGAGTTTTATCCTCCACCCGATCTAGCTTTGACCACGTTTTCCAGCTGTTTATTTGTGTGTCAGGGTGTGTGTGTGTTGGGGGGGGGGGTCAACACAAGCCTCTGCAAGGACGAGGATAATGCTCTGCCTCCAGGGACTGCACCTTCAAGTCACCTGGGCCTGGGTAGGTAGCACAGCACAGAGTAGCAACGTAGACAAGCCATGCAGATTGATCGGAGGAGGAAGACAGAGACTGGCTCATAGGCAGCGACCTGTACCAGGACGGTCAGTGGGACAGACTAGATTATAGTCAAAAGGGTCGAAGTCCCCCAGGACAATCAAAAGTAGAAACTGTACCAGGGTATGAGGCAACAAGTCGGTCTGCCCAGAAGGAGGTGGTGATGCAGTGGGGGGCCAGGGCCAATGTGTGCTTGCCAAGCATGTGCTTTTAACAGGCAGGCTCTCTCTGAGCAGCCCATCTACAGCAGTGACAGTAAGTTACTGAATATCTATATGCTGCTTCAGTCAACATGCTAAGCACTGTGCACGCGAGGGGAATTCATAGGAGTTCCTCCAGGTCTCCTACATGGGCAGAGGGGCCTGCTGCTTTCCCAGGCCATTAGCAGGAAACTGGATCAGAAGTGGAGCAGCCAAGACTTGAGTCAATATTGGATATTAGCACCACAGACAGAAGCTTAGCTACTATACCAGGGCTGGTCCCAAGTTTTTACAACACAAGCTTTTCATGAACTTTTTGAAGATTTCAACATTTCTTTGGGGGCGGAGTCAACATTATGCTATGGTGGGTTAAACTACAGTCTACAATGCTCACATTTCTATGGGAACCCCAGTACAAGCCCCGACTATTCTATTTTCCATTCAGCTACTTGGTAATTCATCTGGGGAAA